AGGTGGACAAGCCAATGGTAAAAAAATCCAGAAATGTTCAGATTGGAACAAGGAGATCTCCTCGGCTGAAGAAAATGAATACTTCAGAAAACAATGTTGATGATGTACCTCCACCTTCTGAGAAGGTATGTCGTGTACGTACATTATGTTTGCGAAGATAATGTACGTACATACATTATGTTTGCGATGATAATGTTTTTTATGTTACAGGATGTAGAGAAAACTGCCCCAGAATCTGCTAGAAAAGAAGCAGATATGTCTGACAATGAAAGTGCTGGACTTTATTATGGTGGACCTTCTGACGAGGTATGTCGTGTACTAGAAATAGTCACAGAGTGTAGTACTGTACGTACATAAACTATAAATATGTTTATTTACTTTATTTCAGGACGAAGTCATATGTGATGGTGGTGAATATGACAAAGGACCGCTAGATTCAGCTACCAAACAACAAGATAAGTCTGACACTGAAATGGCAGACATTTCTGAAGATGATAAAGACGTGTTTCCTGCTGAGGAACACAAAACTGGAGATGATGAGGACGTCTTGCCTGAGGATGAAACCAAAACTGGAGATGATCAGGACATGTTGCATCAGGAGGAAAGCAACGTTGGAGATGATCAAGAATTGTTTAATCAGGAGGAAAGCAACGTTGGAGATGATCAAGAATTGTTTAATGCTCCTAGTTCCCCAAAACGTGGAGCTGACGAATTGGAGGTATGATCAAGTCAATGTTAAACTTTGAGTGGCATATAATAATGACCTATCCCTTAACTAATGAGTAATGCACCAATTGTAGGCTTCTCCGGCTGATGAACCTACAATTGCTGGTCAGAGGAATGCTGGAGGGGCTATTGGCGTTGATGGCAACCTTAGTTCTATGCCTTCACCGTCTTCTGTAATCGTATAAACTGTAAGTTACTTATATGTTAATACAATAAGTTTGTTCCTCATTAATGTAACATCGCAACAAAGTAAAAATTATGTTTTCATCAGGTACTAACAGAGTTGGGAACCTTTGTTGATGTAACTGCTGGTACCAATGTCATCGAGGTAACTGTGTTTATTAAATTAACTTATAATTTCTATACACATGATGTACGTACATATGCGTTATTGCGTACATATAACTGATGGTGGTGTACGTTATTTCGATAAGGTTGAACCAATGGTGAAAGCATATATCATTTTGGGAGGAGGATAAAAACACTATCGTTGATGAGGCTAGAACAACCGCATCTGTTCCTCAAAATCTTGTAAGTCTATATATATTATTTACATATCATGCAATGATTTCAATATAAGCTTTCTATTTGTTTGATTTAGTAATTATATCTATTTTTCAGGAGGAAACAAAAAATGATTTTGATGTGGGAGTAAGTGAGTCTCAAAAACCTGAGGATGTTGTCCCCGTAAAAGAGAAGAAATCTGTTAAACGAAGAGTTATTTTTGAGGATACAGAGGATATAACCGCCTCTACCACGGAAAATCAAGTAAGTTATAGAGGCTGTTGTTAATAAATTATATACATATATCCTTAAGGTTTTAAATATGACCGTAAAATAATTTGACATTTTTTTTGGTGTAGGAGGAACCGAAGAAGGATGCATGTGTTGAAGGAAGTGATGGTCAAATTCCTGATGATTCCAAGGATGTCGAGATATTAATTGAGACGAAAGAATCATCATCAAACTCTGCGTTTTTGGTCAAGGCCGGAAATGAACCATACAACCCATTAGAGAAGGTGAACGATGCAAAATTCCAGCTTTTAACTGATATCATCAATGGACCAGATGTGTAAGAATCTCTAACTTTATAAAATATCATATACTCTTTCTTTTCACTTTAAATGCAAATCATGTATTTAACTATGTTTTGTTTGCTCCGACGTTCAGGGTCCACACAGGTTTTGGATTACGAAAACTAGAGAACCGTTTTTTCGCCACCCTTGCAGAACCTGGTGAATGGGTTCAATCTAATGTACGTATTGTTGGTATATGTCCACATTTGTTGATATACGTACACATGTATTGATATACGTACACGTTATACGTACACAACATCATAGTCGTGTTTACATTTTCAGCACTTGGAAATGATCGCCCTCATGATGTGGCACAAGAATGGAGAACATATGAGGAAAAGTCGGGCAATTGTTTTGGATTCATTACTCACGTACGACCTCTCACGGCGTGCAAATGAATTCAGTCGGTGTAAAAAAAAAGAGAGTTTCAATTGGGGTGAACTGCTCTACGAAATTGCAAATGGTGAACGCATTAACCGTCAACCTAAGCTCAAGTGGCTAAAGGACGTCGACGTCCTTTACGTCCCTTTGAACTGGTCACAAGAGCATTGGGTTGGTCTCAGCATCCACCTCAAGATGCGGCATGTCACTATCTATGACCCCCTCGTAAGTAAAACCCGGGAAATTGTTGTGAAGACTCGGATGCAGCCCATCCTGGCTATGATGCCTTATCTATTGAAAGCGGTGTGCAAGGACTATGTAGGTGAGAAGTACTCTCTCGACTCTTTCACATACTTTCGGGTGGACTGCATTTCTCAGAACCCTTGTACCGGAGACTACGGTCCGTTCTCGATGAAGTTTATGGAGCTACTGATGCTTGGACGCTCAATGGAAGAGTTGCAGACCATTGAAGAGGTTGATATGGACAACTATCGTAAGGGGTACGCTGTTGACATCTTCGAGCATGGTGTAAGGTCTCTGACCTAATGGCCGTGTATCTGGTGTTATTAATATCGTTTACAACTTCTGTTTTATCTAAGGGTTTTGTGTTTTTTAACAACTTTTGCCTTTGCGTGTGGGCTATGTTTTGTTTCAAGCACTCTAAACTTCTGCCTTGCGGTGTAGGCTATTTTATGTTTATAGCACTCTAAACTTATTTTATGTATTTTGAACGTATCTCATGTTTTAATCTAAAGATCCAAACATAATATCTAAAAATTCTGATGTACGTACATATGTATGAAAATTAATTTCTGTGTACGTACAAACTAAACATATATGGCTACCACAAATGTATATAGTATTGGAGAAAAAAAATTATTCAAAATAGATAAGGTTACATATAGTTAATTGATTTGACATTGCTGACGTATTGGAACTACACTTATTGCTAATCTCATTGAATACAACTATTATCTTCCCAACTAAAACTTTCACCTCGCCTATTTAAGTGGATAAGATTGATGGGGAGTTCCACACCTCAATCCAAAACATGTCAAATCCAAATATACCTGACGATGTCCTAGCCAAGATTGTGAAGATAATGGTTCACAAATGTTGGAGGTACCTACAGCCTCTCTTAAGATCAGGCCCTCGTGGAAGGGACATTGTATACCGGCCCGATGTACTCGAAGATGCAAATATTTACAGTTTGTGCAGTGATCCCGATGACTTCCATGCAGCTGGTCATGATCCAAATGACATCCACACCGAAGGTCGCTTTAGACCTTTCTTCAAAAGATGTGTAGATGCTGGAAATCCAATAGCTATCTATCATGAAGGACTGCGTCTTCTAACACATGAATCTGACATAAAGGGAGCTATAGTTCTATTACAACGCAATGTGCCTAATCACGCTGATGCAATACTTGCGTGTGCGATCCTCTCCATATGTGACGGTAACGCGTACATGGGCGCTGAGTATCTTCTAATGTTTGAGAGAAACCATTACTCGTTGCAGTCAGAAGAAACTCGAGACATGTGTGAGGAGTTGCTAGATGAGATTAAAAAATATGGCCTTACATACAACAACACTTATGGTGCAACATTTTCTTACCCTGAGTTTCGTGGATTTAACACTCCGCCTTGCGCGATGATGTGTTACATCAGGTCTGGTCCCTTTAAAAATGTGTGCAACGTTTGCTATTTATGGTGGTGTGCTAGAAGAATTAGCCAACTCCTCTAAGTTTATCTTTGATGTTTACATGTTATTATCTATATTGTAGTGTGCTTAAAGTTTCATAAATATAGTACTTGTTGTTATAAATGTGAATGAGTTTACACTCTTTCACAAATATCTAAAATAGTTGAAAAAGGGTATTAATTTCATTGTATACTACATATGGAATGTATCTTTGATTAAAGATTTTGCCAGATAAAAGAAAAAAATGTCATATTCAATACGTACATGGTTTAGTTTTAAATGTACACACTTATAAGGTAGATTATTTGTAGCAAATTTATCAATTAATGATCTACCTATATTGATTTGACCCCTTTCGGGGTAGTTATTAAATACATTTTGTCTTACTTATATAATGAACATATTTAATATTTCTAAATGCTTCTAACAACTAGTTCCAAATATAGACGTACACGGTGGAGCTATAAATGTACACTGTTAGAAGGAGATAGACTCATTCAATAAAGCATTAAATACGTACCTATACTTTTGTCCTAATTTCGAAAGATGTATCGTTAACCAGAGGTGATGTGACATCACATTGAAGTAGTTCAACTTGTTGCCTTCACATACTTGGTTATAACCCTATATATAATGAAGCCCTCAAGTCTCTTTACACACAAATCTTTCAAACTCAAAACCGATATAATATTCTCAAAAACAAATGCCTCTCCCAACTCCTCCTCCGACCGAGATGTATATTGCGGTCCTGCTCCCAAACCCTATCAGTATACTAGTAAACTACCTTCCTGTATCTCAGACTCCAGTCGACACCCTTAGGAACCTGGTGAATGCCGTTGACATCAACTCCATCTGTATGGACGAGTTTATGACTTGGCCGCATTTCATTCAGCCCGATTCTCCTTTCCGACCGTATTTCGACATCTTGTTGGAGACGGGATCCTTGTGTGCGCAATACCTTGAAGGAGTAAGGCTTTGTACCAACTTCCTCACCGTCACTCATGGTATAACGATGCTCAGTTCGGTCTCTCCAGCCGACCCATATGTGTGCTTCGCACATGCCTTGTTCTTAACAACGACGGTCAGCTACACTGAGTTCATCCCGGGAAATGCAATGTTCTGGGAAATGATACAAAATTTCCAGGCTGCAACCGCCGTGGGAGAGTTGGTGATGTATCACATTAGTCAACTTCATCTTCAAGGCCCTCCGCTGTGGCAAAGATCTTGGAGGTTTGTCATCAGTCCGCCATGTATCGGAAGCTGCACATACGGACATTCCTGCCGCAATTTTTTTTTCTATTGGTACGCTCGAGAACTATGCATTTTCTACTAGAGGTGCGATGGTTATGAAGGAAGAAGCATGCAATTTTCCCACTTATGACTATGCTTCCGCTGTGACCTTGACTTTATTTCTTATGAATCTCTACCGTAATAGTCTGTTTATTTCTATGCTTTGTAATTCCCTTTCCAGGAGTCTTGCTATGAATGAATGAAGTTAACCTTAGGTTTTATTTCTATGCTTTTTATTTTCCTTTCTAAGGACTGTTGTTATGAATGAATGCAATCTACTTTTATGAATTAAACATATATGAATAATTAAACGTTTTGTAGTTGTACGTAATATGTATACGTACATAGTAGAGAACACTAATATTATCGTACTCATCCAGGAAATGGAAAATCCGAAAATGTTATAATATGTACGTACAATGCTGGAATTAGTCATTATGAACGGACACTTGTCAAGAATTTTATGTTAATGGAACAAAAATTAAAAAAAAATTAGGCCATATATTTTTAAGTTTGGGGAGAAAAACAAACTAGAAAACAACAATATTTGTTTGTTGTTATAGCAACAATAGATTATAGAAATAGAAACTGTAGTTGTTTTTAGAATACGAAAAAAAATCAAAGCAAAATGCACGCCTTCGGACTAATAAACCACCGTTTTTATCTCTTGGACTTCCGGGATGTCCGGATCAGCAAACAACTTTTATACAGGGCCATGACTGACAAGCTTCGGGTTATTTCTCCCGGTTACCCTCCAGCAAACGAGTGCTACCACAATATTGCGACGAGTATAATTGCGGAAGTAACTTTGGAAGTCCAAAGCTTGTTGATTGTGGGCTTCACATTCCAAAACTTCGTTGCTAAAGTAGAGGGAAAGATAAACATGATCAGCAAAGTAGGAAGTAGTTTTATTTGCAAAGGATAGAGATACGTACTATCTATCTTTGATCTTGAAAGGAAGCTTCACACCGTAAAAGTCTTCGGTGATTCCACCAACCTCCAAATGCGCACCAACCACATCTGGGGTATAAACCAAGATATTATGTAACTATTGCCAAAACATTAAGTACAAATTTAAAAATACTCAAGTCTAAGGTAAAACTACTCACCGACCAACACATTTTTATCAACCGTCTTTTGAATAATGTAGTCGAATTGGTGAAATCATAAAAATTGAATGGGTCCCTTCGCAATGCGTTAGTAACAACGGTCCGATCCAAAAACCAGATCCCGTACTCGTGCGCTGTTGCTTTCACTGGGTCTGCATTTTTACGTACAGAAAATGATGTGATAATTTTCCACTCATTTTCTTTGGGTCGATCCAAGTAAAAAGGAGCAAGACGACGGTCAATGGTTGCCTCTATGCGTGAGCGGGAACCCTGCAGATTATGATGAAAAAGCAAATAAGATTTAAGCAAATGGGTTGTATGATGGTAAAAAATTAGGGGAGATGGGGATATTACCGATTCATCTGCCAAGATGAGTCCGATTTCGAAAACGTTAGGAGCAACGAACTTCTTAAACACTCGGACGACAAAGACACAAATTGTCCACCCAGTGATCATTGGACACAATTCAGAAATGGTATGATATCCGTCCATGATGATAACACGGAATGTAAGCACAAGGGGTGTGATAGTTTGTGTTTGACAGATATAAATCGAGATTTGACTGGTGTTTTCGAGAGATAGCAGGAACGTGGAAACAAAGCAAATAAATTGGCGCTTAAATAATAAAATTTGGTAACAAGCAATGGTTAGTTGGAAAGGTGCAACATTTGGAAATAAATTGGGGCTGACTTGTATTGTAAAACGACGTCGTTTCACAACTTGGTCTAAAAGTTTTAAAATGTATGCAAAATTGGGGTTTCGAACCCGTGTGCGTTCTTGACTCTTCCAGAACCTTATACCAATTGATCCCACAACTTTCATCGAACATGTCACAATCATTTTAACTTATAAACCTTTACAGTTTTGGGTTTTCAAAGTAATCAAACGACGCCTTTTTGAATTGGGGGAAAAATAAGAATTCTAGGGTTTCGAATTGAGAATCTGATTTCTCATTTCTTCTTCGGCTTCTCCGAAATTAGAGTGAAGATAGGGGAGAAAATCGCAGAACAGAGAGGTTAAGAGAAATTGAATCAGAAGAAATCGTCATTTCGCTAGCAGGTAACCATGTCTTCCACGACCTTCGATTTTAATGAAGAAATGAGACTGAATTGGTGAAATTTGCTGGGTAGTTGTGAAATGGGTGATCGATTAAGAGGGTTCCCTAAGAATTATCGGTGCGGAGAACCTATAGTGATGAAGACGTCAAAAACTGCTAGAAATCCTGGCAGATTGTTTCATGCTTGTCCTTTTGGAGACAATGTAAGTGGCTAAATTCTGGAAATTATTGTCTATATGTGTTTTTGTGTCATATAAGATATGCATTTAGCTTGGTATGTCAGGATAATAGGTATCATGTGTTCAAATGGACGGATTCTTGTATGGTGGAAGAGATACAAGACTTGATAGAGAAAGTTGATAACTTATAAGGAACTTCGATTACAATGTAAAAAAGCTTCAATGCGTGTGAATCAGAGATTGAGAATCTGACGATGGAGACGCGTGTCTGTGAGGCTGTGATTGAAAAAGAAGTTGCAGAGTTGAAAATTCAGTTCCGTAGCTTGCAGAATATCGTGGTGTTTGCTTTGGTGTTGATTTTCTTGTTCAGGTTTATATTTTGAATCTATATGTATTGTAGTGAATGCATGATGTGGATTTGTACTAAAAGAATGATGTGTTTTGAAGTATGAGAATATATATGTATGAATGATGTTTGTGTTTGGGTTTCTGTAATGATCGATAAGAAAAAGAGGAAATGCGAAATCGATTTGAAAAATACACTAAAAAAATGTGCAGGTATAAAAATCCACGGACCAGAAATTGCGGATATGAAAATCCCTTTTCCCTTGTGTAACCGTCTATAACCGTTTCATTTATAAAGTATACGTACACGGGGAAGCTGAAAACATACACAGGCATACGTACAACGAAATAAACTTGGATACACAAAAAATACATAAACGTACACTGCCCACACTTTGCCAAAAAAAAACAAACCTACAGAGCTAAATTGGATTTTTGCAAGTCTTCTTGTTATGACCTTCTTGTCTACATCTTGTGCAGAGATTCGGATTTAGTCTTTTCTGTCTTTTTTTCTGAACGTGAGAAACAACAAAAGTAAACAAGAAAATCATGTATATAGACATAGCATAGATATGGTCAATAACGTACAAGGAAAAATTATATAACTTACCCAGTTTTCACCCCTAGAAGGTATCCTTTTGCTGGTTGGTCTCCCGGGTGGTCGTCTACTGTGAGGAGGAATAAGTATAATTTCTGAAATATTTTGAGGGATGACAACATCCTTTGGATCCGCGATAGGTAGAATCGGTTCTTGAAAAGAATCGGAAAACGTTTGAATGCTATACCACCAGCCAACAATAATATTCGGATTAATCCCAAACTCTATTGCAGTTGCTAGACCGTGTTCACATGGAATTCTTAACTTCGTGTACCTAAGACACGTACACGTACACTCGTCGAGTACGACATGGAAATGCTCACCAGACTTGCTTGTAACTTGATAACTCCAGGGTCCAGACATCTTCACTGCGAATTTCCCGGACTCAGGTAAATCTTGGAGAAAACGCTCATCAACCTCAGGCGTCACTAAAGATTTACATTTAGCCACTTTTTTCCGCCTAGCTGCGAACCACCGCATAAGGACCTCTCGAATGAACTCTATCATGTAGACAATCGGATATGCTTTTGCTTTGGTTAAGACGTTATTCATAGACTCTGAGTTGTTGCTAGACATGATATTGTACCGTTCCCCTTTGCAGTGAGCTCTTGTCCAATGCTCAAATCCAATTTCTTCCAAGTATTTTGTGCATCCAGCACTTCTGCCCCTTAACTCTGCAAAGTATTTATCAAAATCCCTCACCCTATATGCTTTTGCGGCGCTGAAGAATAATCCCGAAACACCATACTTACTATAATACGTGGATATATTTCGCTCAAGGTGTACTACACATGCTCCATGATGAGCTTTCGGGTACACAACACTGAGTCCTTTGTAAATAGAAGAATTCCTGTCCGAGACAATCATTAAATCTTCACTGTCTGGAACAATCTCAGCTAATTTATCAAAGAACCAAATCCATGAAGCATCGGTCTCCCCATCAACAATACCAAAAGCTATTGGAAATATTTGGAAGTTCCCGTCTTGGGCACATGTTATTAGGAGGACACCTTTGTAACGACCTACTAGCTGTGTACCATCTACGACAACTACTTTCCGCATATACTTAACTCCTTTTATGGATGCCCCGAGAGCTACAAATACATACTTAAATCGCTGCTTACCATCAGCTTCAGGGGTAGAGTGGAGGTGTGTTATTGTCCCAGGATTAGCTGCTTTAAGAAGATACAAATAAGTTGGTAAAAACCTGTAACTTTTGATATCATCGCCTCGTTACATTTTCAACTGCCACCTCTTTAGCTCTCCAAGCTGTAGCATATGAAATCCGAACATTGAGATCATTTAATAGCAAATGTGGTAAATCAACAGCTCTCGGACCTCCTTGCGTAGAACTGTATCTACTCTTCAATACCTCTCCGAGAAGTTTATGGTTAGCATGTTTAGCGTAACCCTTGCGAGTGTCGATGTCACATGTATGGATGGAATTATACCTTGTGATTTTGAAACATTCTGAATTCTTGACAACCTTTGCAGACAAATGCCACCGACAATTTTCATCCACACAAACCATCTCCAATCTTCTAGGATCAGACCGAGTTTGCTTGTAGCAAAAGCAAACTTTGAGTGCAAGATAAGCCATAGTTTGTTGTATGACTTTCCTGTTCATAAACACACTACCCACATACAATGTCTCACCAGTCGTATTAATTTCAACTTCTGTAGAATCACATCTAACTTTGGCTAAATCATCAAATACTGGAGCAGCATCATTATCAAGAATCTCCGGCTCTCCACTATGTAATAAAGAAAATCCATTATACACTTCATAAGCCTCAACCGAGGGTTGTATACGGAGATCAGTTTCATTTAAGACACCAGTTTCTGAACCTCCGATATCCAAATCCACACCAATCTCTCCATTGACATCGTCTCTACCATTAACATCGGTATCCGTATACGTAACAAATTCATCTTCGCATCCTGTGTCTTGTACACATTCTCTAGTGTACGTACATTGGAGCAATCCATGTTGACACGTCCGGGTTGAATTCACAGTGGGCTGGGTGTCACCCAAATTCGCACTTCCTTCTCTTGTACGTACACGTTTACTTGTGTTCGTACACTCTTCCAATAGACGACTGAATTCCCCTGCCGGTTCTACGGTCGGTGGAGTGTCACAAACGTCCTCCTCAACATGGCCAACTCCATATTCTTCTACAATCAAATCATTCCACTTGTTGTAATTGTAATCTTCCAATAGACGACTGAATTCCCCTGCCGGTTCTACGGTCGGTGGAGTGTCACAAACGTCCTCCTCAACATGGCCAACTCCATATTCTTCTACAATCAAATCATTCCACTTGTTGTAATTGTAATCTTCACTACTACCTTCACTGCCGTCTATAGTAGGGTCGAGGGTACTTCCCGCACTATATCCACCACTGGCATCGTCATCTATTTCAATGTTTTCGTCGCTGTCATCCTCTGCATCTTCATTTGTTTTTTCATCATGTACGTCAGTTTGCTCATCTACATCCGCATTAGTAGTGGCATCTACAGTTGTACTGAACGACACAAACAAGTTGACACTTGGATCCCCAACACGAATCAGGAAGAATGTATCCAAGCTCATTTGATTGTCAATGTAGACAGGAGGGCGTGTACGTTCTATCATAATTGACATATTTCCCGGCATCCAGTAACTAATTATTGGCTGCCATTCATTGTACTTCAAATTGAAAACCTCACATAATGTACGTGTCAAATCCGTGTATCTCATGTATTCTCTAACACGTACACACCGACCATAGCTTCCTTTCTCAGGTTCAAATTTCCATTGTTCTTCTGTTATTATCCACTCACCAACCATAATAAATACTGGAATCTCCATTAATATCCTGCATCATAAATTCAGGAGAATCCCATTAAATGCAACTGAGAACAACTTTTATAACTCCAACTAAAAAAAGACTTTGCATCTCCTCATTTAACATTTATTACAGAACAAATATAGAATGAAGACGGGAATAAATGATCAATTTCCTGAAGTTTTGTATCCAAATCAATTTTGTTTTCATTGAAGTGTATGTAATACCTAAAATTTATATTTACAACTTCATTGCTTTCTCGCCTGCAAACTTTGTTAAACAACAAGATCAAAATGGCCACAATCTCATTCCTTCATAGATATTTAGGGGAAGTTTGTGTTTTTTCTTATTTCTCTTTACAAAATCTAAACACAGTACGATTATTTGATTTAAGAGGATTAAAATAAGATGTAATGATGAGTTTGCATTGATTACAGTTGGAATGAGTCATGTCTCAACTTTTTCAGCATTTAAAACATTTGTGACAACATATTTTATTTGTTTTATTCGTTCGGTGTACACTGTACATCCGATGGAAATATTAAAAAACTAATCAACTGTAGCTAACGAGATACTGTGTACGTAACCAACTCGCCTGACGATTTCGTTCGCTGTCACTGTACACCGGTTCGGCTACAAGGGCATTTTCGTCAGAAATTGAGATAATTGTCAAATGCTGAAAGCTAATCCCCACTTTGTCAAAACCTGAAAGAAAAATTTAAAAGTTGGGCCTGCCCGTAATTAACCCTACTCTTAATCCACTAATGTTTGGGCCTAGTTTACTTAGTGGGCCTTGTTTCCTTTTACTCCATAACCCAAACTTTTTCTACTTCTTCCTCACTTAGACGTTTCTTCTTCTTCTCCATCTCAACACTTCTTCTCTTCTCTGTTTCCTTCCAAACCAAATCAATGATCATTTAATCAAGTTTGAGTATTAATCAAAGTCTGATTCTAACACTCCCTCTCAGACCATTGATTAATTTTCAACTAGAACCGGACCCGGATGTACAGACTGTGAGTTAAACATTTCATGTCATTTTGTTTCCTGTGTTTGTTTGCAAAACAAATTTTGACATGACTATGCAAATGTGATTACATTTGTGAGATAGCATTGAACAAATCATAGTATAGTAAACAAAGTTTTAGTTAAAAGATTTATGTATGTAGTAAAAAATAGTAGGGTTTAGGAGGGTTTAAGTTCGGTGAAAAACAGAAAAGGATCTATTATATGTAATAGATAAAAATACATAATTATTAATTAGTGTAATACTCCATCTTAAACATTAGATATGCTATATATAATTTAAATATTTCTAAGTTATTATTTTCTTATTCGAGATGTATTTATTACTAGATTAGGACCCGTTCGATGTACGTGTTTAAATTTATGAAATAAAATTAAATTTAACAAAAAAAATTT